TACCACCACTCCAAGATACTCTTGAACCTGAGACCCAAGTTGTAAAAGAGAAGGAAGAGACTCTACAATCAGGAAATGTAATTAAAGATACTCTGGATTTGCTACTCGAATCAGAAGTGCAAACTATGACCTCAGGAGTGATGGCCCCAGAGCCACAGCCCACAGATGTGAAGTTTGTTCATGTGACTCTAGAACCATGTACAGAAGTTGATAACCCATTGGAAGTAACTCTGAGACATGAATATGAAGACACAGAGACCTTCAGATTGACATTGTCTAAAGTCAGTGATACCCAGGGGACCATTGTAGACCCATATTCAGAGATGGGATCTCTAGCGTTGAGTCTAGAACCAGGAGTGCAAGGTGTGAAGTCAGAGTCCTTGGCCCAAAATTTGAAATCTGCAGAAGTAATTGCTGAACAACCTGTGCTAGTTGTAGAACCTACAGAGCTAACTATAGGACCCAAACCACATATTAAAGATTTGATCCCAGGGCCACAGCTCCACGAAGTAAAGTCTAGGCAAATGGATAGAGAATCACAGTTGCAAAATAAGAAATCTGTAAATGTAATGAATGCAACAGTCACCTATAGGAGAGGTAGATCCTGAAAAGACAAAACCAGAGCCAGGTCTACAAAGTTTATCACCGAAGGAGCTGATTGAGGGGACACAGCCCCCAAATGTGAAATCTGTGGATTTAAATCTAGGCCCACAGCAGCTAAGTATCAAATCGGAATTGATTCTAGGGTTACAACTGCAAAGTGTCCAATTTCCCAAGTTACATCAAGGGCTACTTCTTCAAGGGGAGAACCCAGTAAATTTCATCTCAGGCCCCCCACATTATGGTGTGAAATCTGATGATGAAATATCATGTTCCCCAGGGCCAGAAATCAGAATTTCTCTTGGGGCCAAAGCTTCCAGAACCACAGCCACAACCACAACCACAACATGTGAAGTTGGTGGTCGTAAACGTAAGACCATGATTGCAACATGTGAGATTCTCTCATCCCATCCCAGAGCCCAAGCACCAAGTTTTCAAATGTGTACAATTTATGCCAGGTATTCAGCTTCAAGATAGGAAGCCTCAGGTATTGATGCCAGAATCGTTTTTGCTATTAAGCCAAGAGACACAAGTTGAAGATAAGAAGCTCGTGCTGCCTCTGGAAGTATCAGAGTTTTGCAGCATGAAACGCCCTTTCCCAGCCTCTGAACTACAAGATCCAAGCGTGATAGCTGAGGAGGTCAATCAGGGACTATGGCAACAAGACACCAAATTTTCTGAGTTGACTTCTAGAATGAAACATCAAGGGGTCAAATTTGGGAAGCAAATTTTGTCTCATGGTATGAGTCCTATGGCTCCAGAGTTAGGGATACATGATCCCAAATCAGCAAAGGTGACTCCGGGGCTACAAGATACAAGGCAGGTGAGTTTTAACTCGGGACCATGGCTGCAGGATGTAAAATTTTTCTATGTAATTCCAGGAACTCAACCTCAAGGTCTGAAGACTTCAGAGTTAAACTCGGGGCCGCAGTTGAGTGTGTAAAAATATTTGAGTTGACCACACAGCCAGAGAGGCAAGGGATGAAGCCAGAGTTAATAGCACAAGAGCCTCTCTTTAAAGATATAATATATGTCCCAGGGAATCAAGTACCAAGCTTTGAAGACAACATGTCTTAAAAACTAGCATCTGAGCCCCACATACCAAATACATAATCAATGAAATTGACCCCTGGGAAACACTTAGCAGGTTCAGATCATTCTGAGTTGATCAGAAGACCACAGGCACAAGGTGTAGAATCTTCTACATTGATCCACAACTTTTGAGACATATAAAACCTGTGAAGAAGATCACAGCCTCAAAGCAAGAAGAGTTAACGCCAGGGCTACATTTGGAAGACATGAAATATATGGAGTTAAGGTCAAAGTCAGAGCTGGGGAAAGTCAAATCTATGCTGTCACCTCTGGGGATACAAGCAGGAGATAAGGAACTTGAACTGCCTCCGGGTTCCAACTTGAAAGGTTTAAAATCTGAGTTACCACCTCAGGACCACAGTTAGAAGACAGGAAATCTGCAGTCTTAACTCTACAACAGTGTCTAGAGGGGATAAAATCTACAGTGATATCCCCACGAAGTTCCCAGTCAGATGATATGAAATCTGTGATGTGGATCCTAGGTTCAAGAATGCAAGATTTGAAAACTGTGGGGTTGGCCCGTGATGCACATGTTCAAGATGTAAATGTAATGGGCTTAAAACTTGAACCAAAGAAGCAAGGCGAGAGTCCCCTGACTTTTGTACCAGGGATACTGTTTCAAGATAAGCCTGTGGAGGTGTTGTAAGGGCCTCAGCTACAAGATGTAAAACCCAAGGAACTGACTTCACAGCTACAAATGCAAGATAGCAAACATGATTATCTCATGTCTGAAGCAGCAAAGTCTAAAACCTACGAATATAGCATATTCATATAACATAAGGGATCCAAAGGGTAAAATTTGTGGATTTAGTTTCAACACAACAGTGTTGGGATGGCTCCCATGGATTTAACTCTTGAGTCTGGACAGGATGACCAGATAAGCCCAGCAGAGTGGACAGGTGGGCTGTTCAACCGGCTGAACAGTTTGAGTTGGAGGATATGTTGTCTATGGGGTCAGATCCAGACCCCAAACCATAGAGCTCATCTCTAAAGTACAATGTAAAGATGCACCCTCATTTGAATTGGCTTCTGAAGCAGTTTTTCATAATGTAAAAGCTCAGGTGGTCAATGTGAGCCACAGGTGCCAAGTATGATTCCTTGCCCATTGACTCCAGGATCACAAGTGTACCAAGTGAAAGCCTTGGAGCCAATGTTAGAGCCACTGCTTCAAAATGGGAGAATTGTAGCACTAAAACTGAGCCACAAAGTGGAAGTACAAAATCTATCCCAAGAGCGCAGACCCAGAAAGCAAGCGACAGCTCCAGCAGTTTTTAAAAGCAAAGTCCTGTGCGAGGGAGGCCAGCTTGGAGGCTTTCGCAGGTGGGTTCGCGGGGGCAGCTATGGATAAAGACTTGGGATGCTCGGCACTCCCCGACCACGAGGACCCCATGTCAGAAAGGTGAACAAGCCACCCTATTGGTGAAATTATTAAGGCCACTCCACGTAGTTAAAAGGAGATTTATTTAATGGCGTAACTTACAAGTTAAGGGATAGGTAGGTCGCGGGGTCTGGGGAAGGTGTATCGCAGTCCAGCGGTGTTCTCTGGAGCGCTGCTTGGCCCACCTTCACTGTCCAAGGTCCTGGAACCGAGTGAGTGCGCCGCCCATCCAGATCTCAGGTCTCCAGGCGCCTCCCTTGACCCCGCCTTGTAGGCGTGACAGTTGCCGAAGTCTCAATGGGGGTTGGAACTTCCAGATCAAAGCTGGAATGCTACCCACTACAATATATAGACCTGGGCACCAGTTGGAGGACTATGCTGAAAAGATGAGGTTTTAAGTCTCTAAACTGGAGGTTTTTATTTCACTACCAGATTACCAAGATACAGGATCTTCAAAATGATGAAAGGGTTGGGACATAAAATCCCCGAAACAACAGAGAACTCTACGAGGTGGGCCCCCAAACCAACAGATCAAGTCATAGAATCATTAGGGATGCCTCAGCAGCTAGATCTTCAAGGACCAGAATCTGTTGATCTGACTCCAACACTAAGTGATCAAGATTTGAAATCCTCAACTAACGCCACAGAAAAGCTACTAGAGCCCAGAAACTCTGTGGAGTTGCTTTCTTGTTTGTGGCCTCAATTTAAAGATTTCAAGGAGTTACCAACAAAATAAGCCACAGGATCTGATAGCATGACCCTTGACCTCAAGAATCATGTTGCAGACGTAAGGATGCTAACTTGTGAGGTAAGACCAGGGAAAGAATTTCTTAGAGTGACTTCAAAGCCAGTAAATAGAGAGACTGGACATGTAGAAAAATCTCCAAGGCCGTGTCCTCAAGACTTAGGACCTGTGGTGGTGAGCTCTTAGAAAATTTCCCAAAGGGAACACTCTGTAGCATCACCACCAAGGCCATCCTATCACGTTCCAGATTCTGCTTCAGGGATAACACCAGGGCAAGAACCTCAGATTCCTGAATATGTAAGTTTGACCTCTAAGCCATGGCTGCAAATAGAAGAATCAGATTTGTCAACCCAGCAAGCCAGTCAAGATGTGGGAGATGTAGACTCTAAGGAGGTCACTTTTGAGTCATCGCAGCCAGGGGAGGTAGCAGGTAGGCTAACAAAGCCCCGAATGTAAGCATGGGAACTTTAAACATTAACTCCAATAGAATCACTGGACCAAATGATAAACTTTATAATGGTCAGTCCAAAGCCACTAGGTCAAGTGACAGAATCGCAAAGACACCGCTTCAAGTTGCTCAGTCAGTTGCTCTCCCCATTGTTTCCAAATCTGTGGAAGTTATCTCTGGACTGCCACTTCAAGCTATAGAGTCTGTGATGATACCAGAGCTAATCTCTCAAGGGTCAAAACATGCTGATTTGACTCCCAAACTGCATGGAGTGATATTGGCAGAATTTGCTTCAAGTCTTTGGCTACAAAATGTGCAATCTAAGAAATTGATCGCAGTGTCAGCACATCAAATTTTAGAAACAACAGAGTTGTTGTGCTTTCAGGTTATAAAGACTATAATGATTCCCAAACCCCTGCTTCTGATTGTAAAATCTGAAGAGCTGGCTCCAGTCCCCAAGCTCTAGAACCAATAGGAGTTGCCACAAAATCAAGCACTAAAGTAAAACTAATGAATGGCTTGAATTTTCTCCCAAGACCACATCTTCAAGACATGGTAAAACCTACGGAATGAACTCCAAGGGCATATATTCAAGAGAATTTTGCAGAATTAATCTTACAGCAAAAACTTGAGAAACCTCCAGTATTATCTCATGAGCAAAGACTTCAGGCTGAAAAATGTCTAGGCATCAAAACAGAATCTCCTAAAGTAATGGAAATTGAGGGTTTCAATCACAGATGGGTGTGTGTGACGATAAGAGACTCAGAAATGATAACATCAGAAAAGTCACAAGCAGAGAATTCTCTAGGTTCATACACAGCCCTTCAATTCCATTTATTTCAAGTTCTGTCAAAACAACTGAGTTAGGGCCCCTTCAGGGTTCTGGAATGCCAGGGATATCAAGAGCCTTGGCTATGAAGAACTTTGCTGTTGGTATTTTACCATCTCCAGAGTCCTATACAGACACCATTATATTTTGTTCATCAGCCCTTCCCTTGGTTCTTCCCTCTGATACTTCCTTCGGGAACACTGTGGGAACGCTATATCCTGACATCTGGGAAGTGGATGTCCTATCCAAGGAAGCAACTGAAAAGAAACAAATGGAGGAATTTGGGGATTCACTCCAGGACTACTCTCCATATCCACTGAGATTAGTACCCTTGGAGTTTCAGGCAGGACTAGAGGCTCGAAGACATCCTGTCTGTTCTTTCCTGGGTAGACAACAGAGTGTCTGCCAAAGTCATGTCCATAGGCAGCGACTCCTTAGGAAGTATCTCTCCAATATGCTGATGCTGGGAAATGTTCTGGGAACCACTATGGAAAGGAAGCTTTGTTCTCAGCCATTTTTAACAGAAGGAGCCATGATGGATATCTGTCAGTCTATTCAGATTTTATTTGGGGTTCCAGCTGAACGGATGGCATTTTCCCAGAGCCTACTAGAGAGGGGTCCTAGGATGATTTCACAGACTTCAGTGGTCAGAAACTATATTCAGAGACATATTTTATGCCATGGTCACAAGAAAAGAATGCCCTTAAAGATGTGGACACGTGGATCCACATCTTCCATATTACAGCAATACTCTGGTACTAGATTGGGAATAAAGAAAACAAACTCAAAACTTGGTGATATATTCCAGGAAGTCACTCAGCATGTGTCTGTCTCGTGTACAAGGGCCCAGTTTCCTGCCTTAGTGAAGCCAGAGTCTTTTCTCAAGATACTTTACAATAGGGAAGACCCTGTTTCCAGTGACCAGAATAAAGACTCACAGAGTGATTCACCGACAAGGACTTTTGACTCTCACCACTCCCTCAAGGCAAGTTGTCTTTCCCAGGCTGAGAGGGATATCTCAGAACAGCTCCATCTGCTAAAAGATCTACAGCTAAAAATAGCAGCAAAACTCTTAGAGAGTCAAGTACCCCACAATGTCCCTCCACCTTTCTCATCGGGTCTTGTCCTGAAATATCCCATTTGCATGCAGTGTGGCCTATGTTCAGGAGTTAATTGCTGTCATAAATTACAGTCTGCTTTTGGTCCATATCTTCTTGTCTACCCACAGATCCACCTTTTAAGCACCCCTGAAGGCCATGGTGAGATTCGGTTGCTTCTTGTTTTTAGATTGAGAACTGGGAAAAGACCTCAGGTTTCAAAGTATCATGGAAGAAACAGAAGATACATGGAAGAGTACTACATCACCATCAAGAAGGAAAGCTAAAATCTGTCCTCCAGCTTTCAAGAGTCCAACTACTCCAAGAGATTTCCGGTCCCAATCTTCCCAGGCTCCAATTTCTATACAAGTGCACATTAGAAAAAAGCAATGGGGAAGCCATGGTGTGGTCGGCAAGACATGCAGAAGACTCTGAGCACCATGAATTCCGTCAGGTTCACTCTGTATCCAAGAGTGGCTTTGAAAGTAATCAGGAAGAAAAATGGGCAAAATCAAGCCTCAAAAAGACCTTTAGCTTCAAATATCCAATGAAGAAAACCACCAAGGGGCTTAAAACACAAAACACAAAGCTCTACAAAAATAGTGGAACCCCAGAAGAGAGTCCTTTTAGAATGATGTGTCAAGAAGCAAGAGTATTGAAACCATTCAAACAAGCACTGTTTCTTCAAAGACACAACCTAAGAAATCCAGCCCAAGTTCATCCAGCTGCTTTTCCAGGGCCTAAGGCAGGCATTCCAAATAACACATAGAAATGTAGCTTTTACTGGGCAGAAGCCTGAGGACAGGACAAGGCCAGGCAATTTGTGGTCAAGCAAATACTTGCACCCCAAACAAAAAGCCAAGGGTTATTGTTTAGCAGGAGATAGCAAAGGGGCCAGCACACCAGTTGCCCAGCAAAGGTCAACAGGTGTGAAGCCTAAGTAAGAGGACAGATTGCAGGGAACAGGTGACCAGTGTAGACAAACTCAACAGTCAAAACAAGTGAGCTCTCTCCAACCCAGACCTTTGCAATTGGAGACCATGGCTTCTGAAAGAGATGCCACTATTCAAGTTGCTTCAACATCCAACCTTTGAGTATAATTCAAAATGTCAACAGCAGAGCAAAGAAAAACTACAGTGATGAAATCTCCTGTCCAGAGTCTAAGAACTGTTCTCAAGTAGGAGCCAGATTTCAGGTCCAAGAGAGAATGGAACCTGACAACCTTTTGAAGAGAACACTAAGTGATCAAGATTTGAAATCCTCAGAACTAACCCCACAGAAAAGCTACTAGAGCCCAGAAACTCTGTGGAGTTGCTTTCTTGTTTGTGGCCTCAATTTAAAGATTTCAAGGAGTTACCAACAAAATAAGCCACAGGATCTGATAACATGACCCTTGACCTCAAGAATCATGTTGCAGAAGTAAGGATGCTAACTTGTGAGGTAAGACCAGGGAAAGAATTTCTTAGAGTGACTTCAAAGCCGGTAAATAGACTGGACATGTAGAGAAATCTCCAAGGCCGTGTCCTCAAGACTTAGGACCTGTGGTGGTGAGCTCTTAGAAAATTTCCCAAAGGGAACACTCTGTAGCATCACCACCAAGGCCATCCTATCACGTTCCAGATTCTGCTTCAGGGATAACACCAGGGCAAGAACCTCAGATTCCTAAATCTGTAAGTTTGACCTCTAAGCCATGGCTGCAAATAGAAGAATCCTTAGATTTGTCAACCCAGCAAGCCAGTCAAGATGTGGGAGATGTAGACTCTGAGGAGGTCACTTTTGAGTCATCGCAGCCAGGGGAGGTAGCAGGTAGGCTAACAAAGCCCCGAATGTAAGCATGGGAACTTTAAACATTAACTCCAATAGAATCACTGGACCAAATGATAAACTTTATAATGGTCAGTCCAAAGCCACTAGGTCAAGTGACAGAATCGCAAAGACACCGCTTCAAGTTGCTCAGTCAGTTGCTCTCCCCATTGTTTCCAAATCTGTGGAAGTTATCTCTGGACTGCCACTTCAAGCTATAGAGTCTGTGATGATACCAGAGCTAATCTCTCAAGGGTCAAAACATGCTGATTTGACTCCCAAACTGCATGGAGTGATATTGGCAGAATTTGCTTCAAGTCTTTGGCTACAAAATGTGCAATCTAAGAAATTGATCGCAGTGTCAGCACATCAAATTTTAGAAACAACAGAGTTGTTGTGCTTTCAGGTTATAAAGACTATAATGATTCCCAAACCCCTGCTTCTGATTGTAAAATCTGAAGAGCTGGCTCCAGTCCCCAAGCTCTAGAACCAATAGGAGTTGCCACAAAATCAAGCACTAAAGTAAAACTAATGAATGGCTTGAATTTTCTCCCAAGACCACATCTTCAAGACATGGTAAAACCTACGGAATGAACTCCAAGGGCATATATTCAAGAGAATTTTGCAGAATTAATCTTACAGCAAAAACTTGAGAAACCTCCAGTATTATCTCATGAGCAAAGACTTCAGGCTGAAAAATGTCTAGGCATCAAAACAGAATCTCCTAAAGTAATGGAAATTGAGGGTTTCAATCACAGATGGGTGTGTGTGACGATAAGAGACTCAGAAATGATAACATCAGAAAAGTCACAAGCAGAGAATTCTCTAGGTTCATACACAGCCCTTCAATTCCATTTATTTCAAGTTCTGTCAAAACAACTGAGTTAGGGCCCCTTCAGGGTTCTGGAATGCCAGGGATATCAAGAGCCTTGGCTATGAAGAACTTTGCTGTTGGTATTTTACCATCTCCAGAGTCCTATACAGACACCATTATATTTTGTTCATCAGCCCTTCCCTTGGTTCTTCCCTCTGATACTTCCTTCGGGAACACTGTGGGAACGCTATATCCTGACATCTGGGAAGTGGATGTCCTATCCAAGGAAGCAACTGAAAAGAAACAAATGGAGGAATTTGGGGATTCACTCCAGGACTACTCTCCATATCCACTGAGATTAGTACCCTTGGAGTTTCAGGCAGGACTAGAGGCTCGAAGACATCCTGTCTGTTCTTTCCTGGGTAGACAACAGAGTGTCTGCCAAAGTCATGTCCATAGGCAGCGACTCCTTAGGAAGTATCTCTCCAATATGCTGATGCTGGGAAATGTTCTGGGAACCACTATGGAAAGGAAGCTTTGTTCTCAGCCATTTTTAACAGAAGGAGCCATGATGGATATCTGTCAGTCTATTCAGATTTTATTTGGGGTTCCAGCTGAACGGATGGCATTTTCCCAGAGCCTACTAGAGAGGGGTCCTAGGATGATTTCACAGACTTCAGTGGTCAGAAACTATATTCAGAGACATATTTTATGCCATGGTCACAAGAAAAGAATGCCCTTAAAGATGTGGACACGTGGATCCACATCTTCCATATTACAGCAATACTCTGGTACTAGATTGGGAATAAAGAAAACAAACTCAAAACTTGGTGATATATTCCAGGAAGTCACTCAGCATGTGTCTGTCTTGTGTACAAGGGCCCAGTTTCCTGCCTTAGTGAAGCCAGAGTCTTTTCTCAAGATACTTTACAATAGGGAAGACCCTGTTTCCAGTGACCAGAATAAAGACTCACAGAGTGATTCACCGACAAGGACTTTTGACTCTCACCACTCCCTCAAGGCAAGTTGTCTTTCTCAGGCCGAGAGGGATATCTCAGAACAGCTCCATCTCCTAAAAGATCTACAGCTAAAAATAGCAGCAAAACTCTTAGAGAGTCAAGTACCCCACAATGTCCCTCCACCTTTCTCATCAGGACTTGTCCTGAAATATCCCATGTGCTTGCATTGTGGCTGATGTTCAGGATTTAATTGCTGACATAAGTTACAGTCTGCTTTTGGTCCATATCTTCTTGTGTACCCACAGATGCACCTTTTAAGCACCCCTGAAGGCCATGGTGACATTCGGTTGCATCTTGGTTTTAGATTGAGAACTGGGAAAAGACCTCAGGTCTCAAAGTATCATGGAAGAAACAGAGCAGATACATGGAAGAGCACTACATCACCATCAAGAAGGAAAGCTAAAATCTGTCCTCCAGCTTCCAAGAGTCCAACTACTCCAAGAGATTTCCAGTCCCAATCTTCCCACAGGTTCCTCTTTCTTAATATATAAAAAATTACTCATTAAGGGTTCACAGCAATCTTCATAGCTGTTAGACCTTCCAGTATGGGAGTAGAGGATGATAAAGACGGCATTTTCTTTTTGGATTGGTTCCAAGGTGACTACAGCAGTATTTAGCTGCATCCAGCCCTTTCTAATCCAAATATTTTTAACGTAATTGCAAAGTTCAAGAATCCCTTATTTCATTCATTACCATTAAGAGGTTAACATGAATATTGCTATACATAGTTACAATCTCTTAATCTTACATCTCAAAGAAAACTCTTAACAGAACCATCTGAATTAACATAAATGGTGTTTATATAGTTAAAATTTTCTCAGTCTTACAACTTTAACTCTTAATAGAACCATTTGAATTTTCTTGCTAACAACATAGAAAAAACTGATGTTTTCACATCATACTTCAATATTTCCTTAACTTCAAATCAGGGTGCATTAATATCAATAGGTTAACATAATTTTTGCAAACATACATTCAACCTTAATTCACTCATAACTCCTCCTTTTCTTTATAATTTTTAAACAAAATCTCAAACCTAGTTTGAAAAACTCAAACTTACACAATTCTTACAAACCCATATTGAAAAGCAATATTCTCAATCTAACCATTAACACTTTGAAAACTTTTAGCAAAACATCCAAAAGCAGTTTCTTAATAAAACTCTTTATACTTTAAATTAATCTTAGTATAGCCATTTGCATTTCTTACTAACAAAACATGACATTAATCCACTCAAATAACAAGAAAAATTTTTTATTAAATAGACTAAGAAATATTACTTCTCCCTTTACTTATAATTTTTTTAAACAAAATCTCAAGCCTAGTTAGAAAACCCATACTTTTCCATTTAAACAGTTCCATTTGTAACACAAAACCAGTTCCATAAGTAATTCCATTTTTAACACACAACAATTTGTGAATCATCAGTTAATAAAGCATATATGCATACACAAAACTGCATTTTGACTCTAGGTAGAAACAATAAATTTCTTTATTTAAACAGTTCCATTTTTAACACAAATAATTCCAGAAAACAGTTCCTAGATCATCACTATAAGTAAATTCAAAATTGTCCCATTGCAATGAAATCACTATTATTCATTTCATTTCTTAAGTCCCAAAATCCAAATAATAAATTCAGTACTAGTCTTTCAAATATGAAGAAATCCATGACAAAAACCTTTTTGTTGTTTTATCTCATTTTTTTTAAGTTCAAAAAGTTCAAGAAAAAGTAAATTCTGGTATCAGACTTTCACTTTCAAATATAAAGAGATGTTTTACAACCAAAACTTTTTGCAGTTAATTTTAGTTCAAACAAGCATCTCTGCAGCTTTCATTCTCAAGCCAGAGACATATTTAGTTACAGTAACATTTTAAACTGTTCTGTTTTTGCTGCTAGCTCAGGTTTTTCTGTGTTGCATTGACTTTCCAATGGGTCTTAGCTGCGGATGCCTTGTGCTGGTTCTGGCATCCACCATTCTTAACTTCTTAGCAGCTTCTGGAGCTTTTGAAACCACTCAGACTGATAGATTGCAGTTTGCTAGGACTTCTGCATCTGTTTCTTTCATCATATACATTAAGCATAGACTCACACTCAACATTTACACTTTTTCACAAACTCACATATGACATATGCTTAAGCATAAACTCACACTCAACATTTACACTTTTTACAAACTCACATATATCAATATATACTTATTTATACTTTTTTTTTTTTTTTTTTTTTTGGTTTTTCGAGACAGGGTTTCTCTGTGTAGCTTTGCGCCTTTCCTGGAACTCGCTTTGGAGACCAGGCTGGCCTCGAACTCACAGAGATCCGCCTGGCTCTGCCTCCCGAGTGCTGGGATTAAAGGCGTGCGCCACCACCGCCCGGCTTATTTATGCTTCTTAAGGAAACTCTATAAAACTACTTTAGCAAATATATTTCTTATTTGCTTATATTTTATATTCTTATTTAAACTTACATTTACAACTAGCATCTTTACTTTTTACAAGCTTATAACTGCATGTCTTAGGACTAGCTGAGATACTTCTTGCAAGCTTATATTATTAAAGAAATTCTATAGATCTATTTTACCAACTTATATACTGCTTATTGAAACTTCATCTTTACTTCTTACAAGCTTATTATAGGAGTACCTTAGATCTTCTTATAAGCTTATATTCTTTAGGTATATATCTAACTTAGCAAACACCTAAAGATTTCTTAACAACTACATTATCTTCCAACAAGACAGAGTAATTTTCTACTTCTTACTCTTATTACCACTATCTCTCTATTAGAAAGATTCTCTTAACTAGGCAGGAAGTATGCTAAAGTTCAGAGCTTATAATCAACTTTGATAGTTCTGAGAGTTCTTTTGAAATGAGGAACTATTTCTTTAATGGCTTAACTCTGGGAGTTAGTGAGTTCTGTTGCTAAACAGTACTTTATGCATTCCAAATTAAAAGTAAATTTGTTGCAACTCTGTGGGTTTGGTCCACAGAGTGTGAGTTTTGCAACTCTGGGGAGAGATGTCCTGACTACCTGGGAGTCAGGCAACAACTTGAGCTGTTTAGGACAGCTCTGACGGCTGGAGCTGCCAAGAGGCAGCCCAACTCTGGAGGGCATGGTATCCCAGATACCTCAAGCTGCTCAGAGCAGCTCTGCCCTGGATGTGTCCCAGACACCTGGAGCTGCTTAGGACAGCTCTGACAGCTGAAGCTGCAAAGAAACAGCCCAACCCTTAAAGGGAAATTTTCTGACTGCTCAGTAGAGTCACGCCTTGAACTGCTTCAGCAGGGAAGGTTATCCTGTCTCTTTGGGAAAGTCAGGCCTGGAGCTGCCAGGATCTCTGCCAGGGAAGGGTATCCTGACTGTTTGGGAGTTGGGCTATACCTGGTGTGATGGGGGATGATGTCCCTGCAGGATATAGAAATCCTGATCCTCTCCTGGAGAGTCACTACAGCTGAGCTTTGCTCACCCCGGGGGCTTCCTAGCAGAGCTCTGCTTCTCTGACCTAAGAAATTGCAAAAATGTAGCAATCTCCTTTGACTCAGGAGGAAAGTGTTACTTTTTCAGCTCTTTCAGCTCCTCCTTGCTCTGTCCACTGAGGGACATCCCAGCAAGGGTCTTCTGTTCATCTCTTCCTTGCTCTGTCCACTGAGGGACACCTCAGCGAGGGTCTTCTGTTCAGTTCCTCCTTGCTCTATCCACTGAGGGATGTCTCAGCAAGGGTCTTCTCTACGCCAGTACATGAAGATGTTCACACCCAAAACTCTTTTTAGAAAGATTTATTTGGGAAGAAGGAGTCCAAGAGAGTAGCTGCCTCTACCAGGGTAGAGAGAACAGCTCACAACTGAGGCAGGGCAGTTTATATAGGATGTCTTGGGGGCAGAGTCAACCAGTGATTGGTTCATTTTTTCTGCCCAGGGATTGTGGGCTAGTGACAGAGATGGCTGATTTGAGCCAAACTGTGTTTCTTTCACTGGCCTTACTTAGCTTTTTGACAATTATTCTAAGGCCAGGGCACATTTATTTCACTGGCTCTGATTCTAGGGACCAAGAATGTTTCTTTGGTATTGGTTTTAGAGTCAGGGCATGTTTCCTTGGTTCTGGGTTTAGGGATAAAGTGTTACTTTCTCTAGCTCAGGTTCCAAACCCAGGCGATGTTTCTTTCCCTGGTCCTGGGCCTCAGAGTCAGGATTCTACTGTCCTGCTCTGTGACTGGTTGGTTTCACAAGTCACTTGGCCAGTGGCAGAGATGGCTCTGATCTGAGCCTAACTGTGTTTCTTTCACTGGCCTTATCAGAGCCATCTTTCCCCAGTTCTGGGCTCCAGGGTCAGGGTGGGTTTCTTTAGCCAGCCCCTTTTCCCTACACAGATCTTCTATAAAAACTCTATTAAGAGCTATCTCAGTTTACAGCAAACCCAAAAAGAAAGAAAAGAGAAGAAAAACTTTTGTAAGGTGATGACAAACAGCATGTAAAGATGCGGTAAGCCACGAGCCTTGTGGCAAGGTATAGATTAATGGAAATAGATTAATTTAAGCTGTAAGAACAGTTAGCAAGAAGCCTGCCATGGCCATACAGTTTGTAACCAATATAAGTCTCTGTGTTTATTTGGTTGGGTCTGAGTTGCTGTGGGACTGGCAGGTGAGAGAGATTTGTACTGACTGTGGGCCAGGCAGGAAAACTCTAGCTACAGTAAGGAATATCCTGTTTCTGATTGCTTAGCTGGCAACTCAACAGCCAATTTCCCAACAGGAGAAGATAGTTGTCTAAATTGGAGTTGGGTTCCAGACCTGCAGCTTTCAGCAGGTCTGGAGACATTGCTGAAACTTAGTTAC